CTGCTCAGCCAGCTACAATTTATTAGCCAATTCAATACTGTTACAAAAGGTTTAGCTTCATGTACAACCTGTCTATCAAATAAATTAAGATCTTAAAATAAAGATTATAGTGGTGATGTATCACTACTGAATGAGATAATTCATTATATCTTTCTAAGGTATTTAAAAGCCCTGTTCATAAAGTATGAACCACAGGAAATTGACACACAACCAAAGAACTTGGAATTGAGATAGATGTCTTGCTAAGGGCTGAGTGGAAGATATCCACCCTACTCGCCATGTAAGACTGTGCCTTACCTCCTTGCTCAGTACCAAATGAAGCACGTAGGCCAAAATAGTAGCTACTACAACTTTAGAACCCTTGTATGATTGTACTTATTTTACCTATGTGAGTGCTGAGCCAGTGGCCTCTTCCCCTGTTTATATAACCCCCAGTGTCCTATTCCATGGGACCTTTCTAATTCTGTTCAGGTTCTTGTACTATTCTCAGTACCTATAAGTTTGAACAGCTTTCAGTTTTATATTCAGTTATAAGCCTGATATATCCATTGCATGTACTTCATCCTCTCCGCTGGAGAGGAACTACATTTGCAATATCATGTATTTTACTTTTATATGTGTGCACTGCGATGTGTATTACAAATGCATTGCACTTCATGAGGCTTATGATAGCCCTTAGTGTCAGGGTGGGAGCCTTCCACAATCTGGGATGAGTCCCCAAGAAAGTAAATTGCATCTTAAATTGCATTCACTACACATGAAGAGCATGTTGTGAAACTTCTCATGCCCCTTCCATGTATGTATCCCATACAGAAGTAGAGGAGGTACTGACACTCATTTAAAGGTGTTAATTTAAAAATTAGTTTGTTTTGGGGTGGGGGAGTTTGTTTGCTTGTTTATTTTTTAAAGGTTGGTTGTTTTTTTCATTCGCAAACAAATTAATGGATTCTGCCTCTATCTGGAAAAACATTGAATGCACAAACTAGACAAACATAGTTACTTTTCTGTTTCCTGACACCCTGTAACTCAGTTGTTCTATTTCAACCATTACTGCTATATGCAGGTCAAAAAGGAGTGCCTGCAATTCCAAAGAGCAAGTTACTACAGTATGTGTTCAAAAGATAAAGTTAAAAGAAATACTGGATAGAAATGTAGAAGCAGTGAGCCAAGAAAACGTTAAGTATGGTCTGTGTTGTGTAAGCCTGCATTTATATATTGGATAAGTTGAACTAATTGCACTACAAGTGAAGGCAAAATGAGACTATCCATTAGCTTTGGAAACAGATAGACTAGAGAACTTGGACAGAATTAAGTAAGCCTAAATCTTATTAGAGAAGTGGTGTAATACATCTTTAGAAAGCAAAACCAAATCAGTTTTATTACAGGCAGGAAATATTTGAAAGCTGGTAATGCCTAAGATGGATTACTACATTAGAAATCAAATGAGCAGTGGATTCAAGAAGTAAACCTTTACAGAGAGTATTAATGATTACTTTTGCATAAAAATAATGCAGCATAATGGCAACATTTAGCATGGTGGTTAAACAAACAGATTATTTTGGCTTTTTAGTATTTTTACCTTTGTTGTACTAAGACACATGTCTTTGGCCATACAGATTCTCCTTTTCAAGGAGTTTAGTATGTTGTTTGAAGAAGCAAGTGATCAAAAGATTTCCTGACCCCTTTCATACAAAAGAACCACCCTGGTGCAGGGGAAAGCTTCAGAAATTCCTGCAGCCTTCCTCTACAGTAGCATATGTTACTTTGTGCTCTATGATTTGGATACCAATGGTGATTTCAAGGAACAGCATTTGGCAGGAGAACTGCAACAGCACAGAGGCAAGGGACTTGCATTTGTCTCTAAGGTTCCTAGTTCCCCAAAATCCATATGGATCTACAAGTTTGAGTAAGGGGGGCTCCTGCCATTTCTACAAACTAGATAAACTACAGTGATTGACTGCAGAATTAAAGAAAGATCAGTCATCTACACCTTAATATGTTACAAAGGATGAATAGGGGACCCAAGTACCCTAATTCAGCATGTGCATAGAGTTAAGCTTAAGTGTAAATCTCCCTTCAGACTTTAACAATTGAATAAAAGTTCAGTGGTTAAAGGTAATTGTGGCGGAGCACCTTTGGGCCACATGGCAGGGGCTGCAGTAGGCTGGGACAAAGCTAGCAGGGAAGGCAGCCAAGCAAAGCCCCCCAAATGTCATTCTAAGGGGGGAGGTGTGTGGCGGAGCTCCTTTGGGGGTGCTCACCACTTGAGGGCTCTCAAAGGCTCTGAGGGGAGCCTGCTTTGGAGGAGCAGCAGGGGAAACCTCCCCCAAGTACTATTTTAAGGGGGAAGGTGTGTGGCAGGGCACTGTTGGTGCCTGCCACTTTCAGACCGGAGCCAAGCAGCCAGCAGGGGCTTGATTGCAGTGGCCATTTTAGATCTTTGACCACCCATATAAACAGGACAGTTTGCTGCTGGCAGGGCCGGGAGGAACAATTTCTGGGGGGGAGGGGTTCT